AAAAAAAAATCATTAAATTGTGCAACGAGAGATGAGCTTCTCTGCTTCCAACAATTTTATTATTATTTTAAAATTCATTTGTCCTGAACATTTCCTTATCTAGTCCTTCCAGGTTGATTAGATCGCCAGCGTTTAATTCCCTGAAAGGACTGATGATCAATAGGCCTTGTTATACATCTCAACCCGAATACGTTTTCCGATTGGAGGAGAACGTGTCACGTGTCGTGGATGAAACGCCGAGTTGAACACTGAGATCGAGAGGAAACAAAACTCACTGTTTCCCGTGGGGCCAGTCATTAAGTGCTTAATATTCGGATTCTCGGCATTGGACCGGAACTAGCTTGCAACTAGGGCTAATGAGGAGAGTCTTGTCAAATGCAAATGACATTAATAAATATTTCCCCAGATGAGTCTCCGTTGTAGTTATAGTTCGGTCCAATACCAAGGATACGAATATGGCCTATTAATATTACATATTGCGCATATGAAAATTGGACAATTTTGACGAAAGCCCTGTGGCTCTACAAGTTCATTTAAGAACATTAAAGACTGCACCTAATGTGATTAGGCTGATTTTTAATCTTATTTTAGTATTTCTATAGGCTAAATATATAGTTAAATTATCATTTTAGCAAGCTGCAATACCTTGATTGTTATTCAAGACGTCAACTGGTTTTGGTACTCTAGATCTATGTCATTGTCAGCATTCAATATTAATAATTCGGCGTCGTTTTTCCCGTTGCCTCAGACGAAGAATTTAATCATTTTACGCAGGTGAAAAAAGAAATGTCCCACGATGTAGAACGCACGTGCAAAACCATAGTCCTGTCTTGTCTGTTCCGGGCAGTCACCATTGTGGTGTAGGTTTCAGGCAGCGTCCACACCTACTGCACCGGAGAAATTTGAAAACGCAGCTTTATTTCTACGGATAGGCCTACCGTCCACACTAATCCGTCACGAAAACAGAGCTTTTCTAAAACGCTCTTCAAACCGGAGAAATTGTAATCGCCGCTTTTCGTTTTCGCGTGGACAGAAAACATTTTAAAAACGGCGCTTTTCGAAAACGGTGGCGTCACGATAAATCATGTGATTTCCCTGCCGAGTTTTCCTCAAACACAAATCCAAAATAACCGGTGATTGTTGCGTTTTTAAATTTCTTCGGCTTAGTGAGGATGGAAAACACTTGATGCCTTTTCAGAGTGAAAACTCCGCTTTTAAATTTCTCCGGCATAGTGTGGACGGAGCCTGAGATAACGCCCCGTTTGTGTTCTTAAAGTTAAACAGTTGTATACAAAAACACCATCGTTTCACTTGTCTTTGCACGGTTACTGTTTCTTTTGATTTCTTCTTTTTTGTTTTCTCTACCACTTCCACTCTTGGTGGAAGATCTTTTCAGACTGCTCTGCAACGAGTATCTTCTCGAGATCGTTTTAAAAGACGAGGTTCTAGAGAAAGGCTCCTGTTGCACTTTACAAAGCAAAAGATGCGCAATGTAGCGGAAGGTTGAGATCATCTCATTATTCCTGAAAGCGTACACAATTGGGTTTAGTGCACTGTTGCTATAGTGACAAAACTTGACAAACTGGAGCACGCGATCCGTCCCGCGGGTGGGAGGGAGGTATTGTTTGTAATACGTGCCAATCATTGTCACAACAAAGAGCGGTAGCCAGGCAACAACGAACAATCCTGTAATGAAAGCCAGCGTGACAGACAGTTTCAGATCTTTTTTGAAAGCTTGC